CCATCTTTGGCGATTTTTCATTTTTTTTTGGCGTAGCTAAATGCCTTGAAAATTTACAGTTGTGTACTCCACATAATACAAAACCCACTTAAAAAGTCTTAAAAAATAATAAAATTGTTTAGACCCCGAAATAAAGTGAAAACAAAAAGTAAAAAATGAAAAAAAACGTGAGCGAGCACGTTTTGACACCGCCATCTTTGACGATTTTTAATTCTTATTTAGGTAAGCCAAATGACTTGAAAATTGATAGGCATGTACCTCACGTCATAGAGAAGTCGTAGCACAAAATTTAGAAAAAAAACATTATTTCTAGGCCCCGAAATAATTTTTGGCGGGGGCCGAACGCCGTCGGGTTCGGGCCCCATCCTGGACCCCGAACGCCCGAACGTACGGAGGTCCACCCGCGGGCCTCCGTACATACGGGCTGGTAACCCTGCATATATGTATACCAGGCTACCCGCTCAGAGAGAGCGAGCCGGAGAGAGAGAGAGAGAGAAAGAGAGAGTACAGCGGCTGGTTTAGAGAGTGTGTAGTGGTACCATTTCGGCCGGGCACTGACGTCCGACCTGTTTCAGACCATCCGCCTGACTCCCCTTCGGTACCGGGTTACTCCGGCCTGGACCACGGCTGGTATATCTCTCTGGCCTAGGCCTAGGCCGGGTTGGCCAATATTTCAATGGTTCATTTATCCACTGAGGTCGACTGGACCTTCACTCAGGTGCTGCTTTTGGTGTGTGTCCATCTCCTCTCTCTCTCTCTCACCATCTCTGCACACGTGCTGCTTTTGGTGTGTGTCCATCTCCTCTCTCTCTCTCTCACCATCTCTGCACGTGTGCCCGGAGTGTCGGTCCCGGGGGGGGAGGAGGGAGGGAGGGAGGGTGGTAGATAGATAAATATATATATATATATATATATATATATATAGAGAGAGAGAGAGAGAGAGAGAGAGAGAGAGAGAGAGAGTTAGAGTTTTCCAGCAATGCGCAACGAGAGATAGAGAGAGGGTACTTCCGTTGACAGGATGAGCAAAATCAGAATGCATCTTCGACTAGAACATGGAAATATGCACTGCCACTTTTTTCTTACTTTTTATTTGTGTGTGAGTGGGGGACGGAGAGAGAGAGGGGGTAAGACACACACACACACACACACACACACACACACACACACACAGAGGGTGCGAGCCATGCACGGCGGCAGCGGTCGTCGTTGGAAACCCCGCTCAGAGAGAGAGAGAGAGAGAGAGAGAGAGAGAGAGAGAGATTTCCAGCCATGCACGCAGAGAGATAGAGAGTGGCTACTTCCATCAGTAGGATGAGCGAAATCGGAATGAATCTTCCCCTAGAACATGGAAATATACACTACATTCCCGCCATGTGCGCAGCTAGATAGAGAGAGACAGCCTCGATAGATAGGGTGAGCAAAATCGAAATTAATCTTCGACTAGAACATGAAAATATACTCTTTTTTTTTTGGTGTGTGTGTGGGAGTGTGAGAGAGAGAGAGTCAAACACACACATACACAGAGATAGATAGATAGATAGATAGATAGAGAGAGAGAGAGAGAGAGAGAGAGAGAGAGAGAGAGAGAGAGAGAGAGAGAGAGAGAGAGAGAGAGAGAGAGAGAGAGAGAGAGAGAGAGAGAGAGAGAGAGAGAGAGAGACCGAATGGGGCAGGTATCAAGCGCGGAGGTCCCTGAGGGCGAAATGCCTGAATCTTCTGAAACAGTAAGTAATCTTGCATTCAAAAAAGAAAAAGGAAAAAGGCCATGTATCAGACGGGACGATGCCTCTTAAAGAAATCCACAAAACACCAGAGCTCCAATTTGTGCGAGACATTCATTCAGTATGAGCACACTCAGCACAGTACTCGTTGACAAACCGAACAGCCGGTAAGGCTGGCATTAAGAATTCTTCATTATCTTGAATAAGATAACAGTAATCAGATGGAAGGCGGGATATGATCGCTGGCAAAAAAAAAAACATACCTCGAAGAGCAATTATAGACGACGGATTACCAGTCAAATCGTTGTGTGGGGGTGCGCCACGGAGAGTTCACCCTATGGGACGGACGAGAACTGGATTTCGCATGAGGATGATGAGGGCAGTAAATCCCACGGAGAGATTTAGACTCCCTACCTTTTCTTCGTGCAAGATTCCCGAGGAAACTATCAGTTTCAGAGCAACTGGGCACTGCCGCCCCTGTCCACTCTCTTCGATTCATACCTACAGACGAGGGGCCCGACTTCTTTTAGAATGGTTTGAAGTCAGGCGTTCCCCCCCCTTCTCCCCTTCTGGTTATGCAAGATTTGGTGATTGTTATTTTCTCAAATGGGAGAAAAATGGGAAAACAAAAAGACAAAGAAAGATAGACGACGCTGAACGGACGACAAAGATCCTATTCGGTCCAATTAGAGGAGGTACTGGTCCGGCGTCTCGCAGAGGAAGAGAGAAGAAAACTAGATTATCGACAATGAAAGAGGGAAAGGCAGAGAGAGAGAGAGAGAGAGAGAGAGAGAGAGAGAGAGAGAGAGAGAGAGAGAGAGAGAGAGAGAGAGAGAGTCAGGCGTAATCGCGCTGGCCACGGACTGGATGAAACAACCGTTAGCGACTCTACATAGTGAAAACGAAACTTTTTATAGTTTACTTCGCACCAGGCAGAGAGGGGACAGAGCGCTACGGGCTATGATAACGAGCTACTGAAGCACACTTAACGAGACTGCATCTGGGGAAAAAAACTTCCCATCGCATATCTACCTTCTGTTCACCTATAAGACAAGCAGCGACACTTTTTATTTCGCCCGACCATCTCCATGCTGTCCCTTGAAACGAGTGCCGAGGAATGGTAGGAAGGATCTTCTCAGAAAGCGCGACAGCATCGCCCATAGCCTCTTTCCCTCAGATTCCGCCGAGGGTGAGCCCTGACGAATCGGCTACCCTCCTCTCCCATCCCGCCGCTCTCTTCATCTCCACCCGCTCAACCGCCAACCTCAGTGCGAGATGGTGACTGGGGGTCTCAATTTTGCGGACACTGCCTCCATTGGAGGTTGAAGATGAGCTGGAACTTGGTATCCTGGGAGTCAAGCGCCATCACAGCCTTCTCGCCCTCCACTCTCACCACCGTCTTGATGTTCAGGTTGGGCGCGTTGTTGCACTCGCTCCAGACAAACGTCAAGAAGTCGTCCGTGAACTCGAAGCTGCCAACCTTTGGGCCTTTGATTTTGCGCTCGATCATTGCGGTGCCCGTTTGTCCGGAATAGTAGTAGTGTGTCTCGTAGATGCCCTCGGAGCGCTTTGCGATGTCAGCGAACCCGCGGCCCGTCGCCTGGCCGATGGAGACGCTCCAGCCATCCGGGTAGTTCATAGAGAACGACATCTGGCAATGCTTCCTCTTGTCCGCGAGCGACCCGTCCGTGGTCGCAACCATCCCGCCGAACATGAAGGTGACCGTCTTGTAGTCGTTCGACAGCACGTAGTTGGTGTTCTGGTAATTGCAGCCGGAGCCTGCGTAGGTGACATACCCGATAGTCACCTCAGTCGGAGTCTGCGCGCTTGCGTGAACTGCAGCGATCATCAGAAGAACGGCCGCAAGAACCACCCGACCCGCCATTGCCCTCTACTTCTGCCTCCGCTCCCCGTCAGCAAGCTTTCCCCCGCTTCACGGCGCAGAGGTCCTACGAAGACACGAAAGCAGCTGCGAAGAGCCCCTCGCTCCTCCTCCCTTCGAGCCCCCACTCGTCAACGTTTCTGCGATCAGTGTGCAAGCAATGAGCAGCGGTTGCGAGTGCGTACACGGTACACTATCTAAGTTAGCTTGACAATGTATAGTCAGTCAATGCTCGTTCAAGGCAGTTCCGTTCGCTTTTATACAATGTCATTCGCTCGTAGCAGTCACTTCAAGGTCCGCCTCGATCAAGCAGTCATGTGCTCGGACGAGGTGGCCCTGAGTGAGTCACGAGAGACTCGTCTCACTGCGGCTTTCGGCCGCAACCGTTCTTTCGCCCCGAAGGCTCTTTCGTTGCTGCGAAAAAATTAGCCCAAGAGCCTGACTCGAGGCGTGTTTGAGATCTTTCATACCGGCGATGCTGGTCAGGTTCATGCTCTGCGGCCGCCAGGGGGAGCAAGTTTACTCTCTATTTTCAGCGGACCTGTAGTATATGGCCGGTGGTATCTGAAGTCGGGGGTCCAGAGTGAAGAATGCAGGCAACTGGGACGGCCCCCCAGTTCTTTCGTCTGGAGGATGACATGGAATATCAGCATGTACCTTTCGATATATAGACCCAAGTTCGAATCCAGAATGCTCAGCAGTTTTGAATTATATCTTTCTTGACCTTTCAGGTAAGACGAAGCTCAGTTTCTGTTTTGGTCAGTTTAATATGTGATCCGTGTTCCATGGGAAAAAAAAAAAAAAAAAAAAAAAAAAAAAAGGAATATCAGCATGCTCTCTGAAGCAATGAAACTGCAACAGGTCCAAAAGAAGAAAGAAAATGAAAGCTCGCACAGATTAGTATTTCTCAGCAGCGCTTGGCTTGAAAGTCATGATTAGCTTTGCCGAAAAAGAAACCAGAAAAAGAGAAAAAAGGACTGATTAGGAATTTCAGAGAGGAGGGGATACTGCTGGGAATCGACAGCTTGCTGGATCGGGACTTCCAATGTCAACCATTGCCAACGCAGCCGGGAAAAGCGGGGCTGGGAAGTCTTGAGCGAGGTGGAAGCTCCACGCGTCGTGATGACAGGAGTAGAAAAACCTTTCCTGCCGAGATATTTGAATCCGGCCCAGCAAAAAAAGAAATTGGTCCGCAGTGGCCGCACTTCGGAAACTACGAACCTTCCCGCTCTTACGACTCGGTTCATGCCCTCCACAGAGAAAACGTGGCCGCAATAGGGAGAACACAGTCCTCGACCCCATCACACCTACTTACGGTAAGTTCTTCTTTTTTTTTTTTTTTTTTTTTTTTTTTTGAGAAAAACAACCCGAGTAAGTGCTAGGGGTGCTGATAAGAGCAGACACCACTAACATGCTCGGGTTTCATTGAGCTGACCGGCCCCAGGCAATTGAGAAAATTTTGGTTTTACTTACAGAGTTTCATCATCTGGGTTCGAACACGGGTATGTATTTGAACAGTTCGACGGTGTACCCACTGAGCTAGGCCCTTGGGTGGTAAGCAAATTATCGATTTTTCTAGAACCCCGGAGACTCCCGTGTGAACGGAGGGATTTGGAAACGGTCGTGGACTGGAAACGGTCGTGGACGTGGCGTTAGTGGAGTGAACGTCGGGAGCTCGGTTCGGAAAAGGAACGGGGCTGTACACTGTTCCCGAAAAGATGGTCTTAGGGGGAAAGTTTGCAGTCCAATGGTGTGAACGGAGGGATGTGGAAACGAACGTGGACGTGGCGTGCGTGGAGTGAACGTGGGGAGCTCAGTTTGGAAAAGGAACGGGGCTGTACCCTGTTCCCAAAAAGATGGCCTTAGGGGCCAAGTTTGCAGTCCTATATGGGTCTAGCTGTCCGCTATATAGCGGCCGTATAGCTGTCAGAGCTCAAAAAAGGATTAGGGTAACTTCGGCGCAGTCACGAAAACAGTTTGTAATTGCACTTCAGGCAATCCCGCCAATACAACACACCCCCACGTGACCCCACCGGACCCGAAACGTAGGTCACATACATTCAGCATTACCTACCCTTTTGCCTCAAGTGCAATTACAAACTCAATCCCTGACTGGGCCGTAGTTTTCTCAAAGGATTAATAGCAAAAATATTGGGCCTCGCGGCACTACGCTAGACACATGAAAATTTTCAAGAGTTCGTCTGAGTTCATCTGACGCTGTCAGACTCCTTTCAAGAGTTGGTCTAGCGCTGTCAGACTCCTGGATTGGCATCAAGTGCTGTCCTCGCTGCACTGTGAGCATTCTCGACTGTCAGACACTACATGCCAGGGCAGCGGCGATTTGTCCACTGAGACTGGAGGCCAACTCTTGGATTTGCAAACTGCATGAAGGGACCAGTAGGCCTCTTTTGAAAAAAAAGCTCCTGCAGGCGGGAACTGTGGAAACTTCAACAGCTCGCCCGGTGGGCCATTTCTGACACCTCTTGAAGGGCCAGACCAAGAGCAGTTTTCCATAGTTAGTGCAGAGATGACTCACTCTCTAGACCGTGGTTGGAAAGAAGTTGCCGTGTTTTGTTGGGACCCCACCGCAGCCCTTGACTTTCGGCACTGGAAACGGTTGGACATGCCCGAATAGGACATCCCCCCGGGGTGTTTCCCGAAAAGGCAAGTTGGCCGGGGCTGTGGTCCAGGCCCTTCTATCGGCATGCAACAGGACATGTCCGTGTGTGGTCGTGCGCGACCAGGTGTGGCGGGTGCCGCACAGGGACCGTGCACACCACAACGGCCTCCCATGGTCTGCTCGGCCGGCGGGGCGCGACTGTGCACGGAAATGACCGTTGGGAATGTCGGCGGGTGTCCCCCCTGCCCACACTCCTGCCCTTGGTACCACTGTTCCCCGATGTGGACCATCCAAAGTGGAAGTGCATGTACAGAGCAGTGACGGGAATCCATAGACATCGACGAAGGTGGAGGTGTTGTCGAGGAATAGGGGTTGTAGAAGGTAGTGCGATCATCAAGCGGCCGCGACAGCTGGTGTGCAAGGGTCGACGCAGTTCCCATCAGAGTCACAGCATGGCCATGTGTCCATCGGATGTGGCCAGTGCAAAGCGAGGGTAGCATGGAGGGCCCAGACCCCCGGGCCCTGGGGGGAACCGTGCGACGTGAAAAAAAGAAGAGCATGTCCGCGCCGACGTACTGGTCCAAAAAACTGTCCACGATGACGGTCCATGGTTCGCACCGTCGAGCCGTTTTCTGGAAACTGATGGACATGCCCCCCCCCCTACTCGTCTGGAGGCGTCCTTGGAAAGGGAATGGAAACTGGTCGGCATTCAATTTCCAGACTGCGAACCGGGTAAAAACGCCCCGTCAGCATTTCCACGACCTGTTTCCAAGCGCAGTGGGGTCTGAAATTCCTTTCCGGGCCGAGTTTCCACACCGGTTTCCAACACCTGTGCAGTCTGGAGAACACCTCGCCAAAACTTTTCCAGGCCGCCGGCCAGTGGGGTCCAAGCCTAAGTGCAGCGGTGATGAACTCTCGAATTTTCAAGATTCAAGAGTAGTGCAGAGAGGCCCATTGCTCCGTTTCCTTTGCAAAAATAGAGGTTTCCATGCAGCTTTTTCGGGTTCCCATAGTTTGCCAGCAAAAACAGCACTTTTTGCCGAGTTTCACAGCAAAGGACCCCTAGGCCTCTGGCCTCAGGGACTGAGGGACTCAGCGTTCTGGCCTCAGGCTCTCAGTGTTGTTGTTGTTTTTTTTTTTTTTTTTTTTT